ATGTTGGAGTTTGGATAGATTCTAAGAATAGATTGGTTGTTTTTCCAGCCAGTCTAACTGGATTATTTTAGTTAGATCAAACAATGTAATGATCCAAAGCCGCTGGTTAGAGATGTAACATTAGTTTTAAGGGGTGTTGCTTTCTAGTGACCACCGTTGGATGACATTGACTTCCATTCCTGAGGTTGATGGTTTGAGCGCCGCCTCAGACTTTTGAAAGTTGCAATAATACACTGCCTGCCCAAAAAAAAGTCGCCATTTCCTAAACAACCATGTCTAAAGACACATCCCGTGGTCGTGGAAAAGATGTTGGTCTGTCTGAGAAGGGTTAAATCATTGGCCTGCATCAAGCAGAGAAAACATCTAAAGAGATGCAGAAACTACTAAAATTGGGTTAAGAACTGTCCAACGCATTATTAAAACCTGGAAGGATAGTTGGGACCCATCATCTTCAAGGAAGAAATGTGGCCGGGAAAAAATCCTGAATGATGGTGATCGGCGATCACTTAAACGTGTGGTGAGATCAAATCGAAGAAAAACAGTAGAACTCAGGGCTGTTAAATACTGAAAGTAAGAGCATTTCCACACGCACAATGCGAAGGGAAGTCAAGGGATTGGGACTGAACAGCTCTGGAGCCGTAAGAAAACCACTAATCAGTTAAACTAACCGGGAAAAAAGGCTTCAATTTGCAGGGAGCATAAAGATTGGGCTGTGGAGCAATGGAAGAAGGTCATGTGGTCTGATGAGTCCAGATTGTTCCAGAGTGATGGACCAATCAGGGTAAGAAGTGATGCCCCCACCATGCCTAGTGCCTACTGTACCAGCCTGTGGGGGCGGAGTTATGATCTGGGGTTGCTGCAGTTGGTCAGGTCTAGGTTCAGCAACAGTATTTGTTCAAAGAATGAGGTCAGCTGACTCCCTGAATATCCTGAATGACCAGGTTATTCCATCAATGGACTTTCCCTGATGGCACAGGCAGATTCCAAGATGGCAATGCCAGGATTCATCGGGCTCAATGGTGAAAGACTGGTTCAGGGAGCATGACTCATCATTTTCACACATGGATTGGCCACCATAGAGTCCAGACCTCAACCTCATTGAGAATCTTTGGGATGTGCTAGAGAGGGCTTTGCTCAGCGGTCAGACTCTACCATCATCAGTGCAAGATCTGGGTGAAAAATTAATGCAACAATGGATGGAAATAAATCTTTAGACATTGCAGAAGCTTATCGAAACAATGCCACAGCGAATGCGTGCCATAATCAAAGCTAAAGGCGGTCCAACAAAGTGTTAGAGTGAGTGACCTTTTTTTTTGGCCAGGCAGTGTCCTTAACAAGCATTCTAGCTAATGTGGCTAATTTGTATTGGTTGCCCTTCTACAAACATAGACTGGGTAGAAACACTAGATTGGTCGGTTTTGCCAAAGGAGTAGTTGAACACATAAATACCAACCCGATTAAAACCAAAATCTGTAGAAAAACTATCATGTCTGAATAAAAATGACTAACACCTTTCATTTTGCTCATCATTGCCCAATTTGCACAAAAACTTCCACTTTCTGCTTGAGCTAATTTCACTAAAACGGCAAAAAAACTGTGAATTAAATGATTTTCTCTTATCTAAGACATTTTACACACAAAAAAAGGAAGGCAAGATTTCATTATACAGACCAATCATTAACAATTTCAAAGGAACTTAAATGGGAAAAAGAAAAACAATTGCAAAAAGTCCCAGAATATATTACTAGCTGTAGTTCTGCTCTCCACCAGTAGGTAGCGACATGAAGCTTCATG